AAAGTAAAAATAGGTTTTCTGGATTGTGGTGGAGTAAGGGACATAGAAATTAAAGTAAAGTACAAGTACCTCAAAACTGTACTCAACTAAAGTACTTGAGTGGATGTACTTAGTTCCTCTCCTGTGAGTCTCCATGGAGACAAACTCCTGCTCGGTCCCCACAGAGCAGATTAGAAGAAGAAGAACTAACCTGGTCTCTCGGGCTCTCTCCCGTCTCAAACATCCTCTTCAGGCTGGTGAGGGGGACGCTGGGCTTCTCACACTCAGGCACTTCGGCTCCAGCCTCCAGCTCCTCAGTCGCTCTGCTCGGCGGCGCCTCCATGTCCGTCAGGTCCGGCTGCTCCTCACCGATCTCGGGCTGTGGCTCGGTGTCCTGCTCCTGTGGCTCGGTGGATCTCCTCCAGGTGTCGGAGCGGCTCTGTAACGGTGACCTGCGTGAGGGTTTGGGGCCCGCAGATTGGCTGACGGGGGTCGGAGGGTCGGCGGGGCCGCAGGGCGTGGCCTCCTGCGTTTGGGCTCTGTGCTGCTGCTGTTCCCAGCGTTTCTTTAAAACACTTAGATTCCCGCTGCGCGGCGCCGAGGGCAGAGGTGCTGCAGCCTGCGGAGAACAATCAGCCGTTATTATCACACAGATCCCGAGGCTTGGTTTAAAGAGGCTGTTACTCTGCATTTGATTATTTGTGTCTCTCAGAGTTTGACTTTCAGCTTCTTCTTGAAAATGTAGAGTTCGGGTCGTTTCATAAACTCACCTGAGAAGGTTTCATACAAAGATTCAAACTTAAGCTGAGACTTTAGTGCAGTTTCTTATTTATTTAAAAATAAACGTGCAGAAACACTGACTGCTCATCAGCCAACGCAATGAGAATTATAATATAAAAAATAAAGAAAATCAGCAAATTGTCAGATTTGAAAAGCTTCGTCTCGATTCTTCAAACTTTAGTTGAAAATTTAAAAAGGCTTCGAACATTAAATGATTCTGAAAAAGTTAATATCCTGTCAAACGACTGATCCATTAAACACAACAACCAAACATTGGTATTTAGTTTATTTCACACAACAAACTAAATTGATTTTGTAGCTTAAACAAAAAAGACAAAGAACGAGTGAAAAATAACCAGAACTTCCGCAACTCGAGGTGAAGTCGACCAATCGATAAATGCAAAGATGTTCAATGATCCGTCACATAAACTAAAGTAAAGTAACGAGCAGCTTCAACTTCACAGTCGGACATGTGAGAAAGAGTTTGGATGAGGGAGGATTAAAACAGAGATGTGAGAAACCTACAGATACAAAGAGTCAGAGACATGAAGACATTCTCTTTTTCATTTCCTCATCAAAGACTCAGGCCACCTCAACCTCCGACTGCAAGAGGCTGAAAAACCACAGAAACCAAACTCAACTTAAACTACAGCGTTCTGCAGAGTCAGGAAACATTCAGGTAGGAAGAAAAGACGAAGTGAAGAGAAACAACTGCACCAAAGACAAAGAGCAGCTCGTCGTGCACAAACCTGCAAACAGCTGCACACTGTTCCTACTGTCAGAGTAGAGAGCTGAAGACCTGAGAGACAGGAGGACGACCCGGCTGTCCAGTAGGCGTCGTGCGATCGTGTGCATGTGTGTCTGCTGACCGGCTGGAAATGCTACAAGTCGTCCCAGATGTGAGAGACTTGAGAAGCGATCAGAGAAGTCAGCAGCCCACCCCCTACAACCCGGAGAGGGAGGAAACAGAGGGAGTGAAGGGGACGAGGGGCGGGAGAGAAAATCAGAAACAGAGACCGTCAGTGAGGGAAGGAGCGAAAACACAGGAAATGAGTGAAAGGTAAAAGAGAGAGAAACCTAAACAGAGCGAGAGAAACTTCTCTCAGAGACTGAAGCAGCTGGACTGAAACTGATGAAAGCTTCAGGACTCAGATATCAGACGTTTACTCATGAAACTGGAGCCGTGAAAAATCCCAGAGTTAAACTTTCTCATTCCTTCTCTACGTCTTCATTTGTGGGTTGAACGTGGCTCATATCACCATCTAGTGTTTCACACTATGCTGAACCTTGCAGGGTCAAAGAGTTCCACATCACACTAATGTTCATGTGAGGTAACAGGAACCTCATACCTCAACCACATCGGTTAATGTTTGAGTCCAAGAGACAACCGATCAGAAGTTCAACAAATTCCTTCGAGAGGCCAAAAACAAGTTTCCGTGACGTCGTGTGTAAACTTTGATCACCAAGTTTTAATCGGAACATCCACGAGTCTCAGTGAATGTTTGTTCCCGATGTGATGAAGTTCCCTTTGTGTATTTCTGATATATCGTCAAGGCAAAAAAAAAAAAGGGCTTAAATCATTTCATCCTTAAATCCAGAAACGTTTGAAACAAATCTGACTTATCGTGTTCACTATGACGGGACAGACAACCCAACAACATGATGCCTCCAGCCACAGGGAGGCGCCGGTGCAGAGACACAAATACACATTTATAAGAAAAATATCCAGTAAAGTTCTTAGAGAAACAGACCTGGTACATAAATCACCTGATGCTGTGATCGATATGTAAGAGGGACTTTAATGGACACAGACGTCATAAATATATAAATATAAAAACTAAGCCTCTAATCAAAGTTTCCACCAGCGACTGAAACTAAACCGATAAACCACCAGATCGACCGTTCAGAGGTGTTCAGACATTTCCGTCATGAAAGTGTGTGTGTGCTGCTACAGGCCAGACAACCTGGGGTAGGAGGGTGTGTCTTAGCCCCCCCCCCTACCCCACACACAGATCAGGTGGGTCGGAGGCGTCTTGTTACCACACGACAGCAGATGCCATTGTTCCTCATCTACTTTTACCAGAGCTCTCGCTGCACTGCTGGAGTGTGTGTGTGTGTGTGTGTGTGTGTGAGAAACAGTTTGTTTTTCTTAAATCCAGGACCTGTAATAGTACCACAGAATACTGCAGTATTAATACATTTACTGCAATCAAGGAGTAAATGTTTGTGACACGTTTCACACTCACCGTCTTCTTCTTCTCTGCATTTCCCTCCTCCGCTGCCATCTGATACCTGAGGACACGTGGGACGGACGGTGAATGAGACGACAGACGGGAAAATAACCACAGACAAAAAGAATCAGGAGCATCTGGTCATTATTTAATTCATTTAAAGGTCCAGTGTGTGAGACTGAACTAAAATGGATCCATTGAATTAAACATAAAATAATCATAGTGATGTTTTAACTAGTGCGTTCCATCTGAATTGTGGGAATTCTCTTTACTCTAGAATTTACCTTTTAATATTAAATACTTTATATTTAAATACTTTATATTTAAATACTTTATATTTAAATACTTTATATTTACATCAGGAGCGGGTCCTCTCTTCGGAGGCCGCCATGTTTTTTTTTCCAGTAGCTCAAACTAAACCTTTTGAGTTTCTATGACAACTGAAGCTACCACAGCTTCTCTGTCATCTTTGGAGGGGGAGGGGAGGGGTATTCAGCTGCAGCATGAAACTTCACCACTAGATGTCGCTATATTTTACACACTGAACCTTTAAAGTGTGAGTTCGTCATCCGCAGCAGCACTGGCTCCTCTGGTGGTCAGACAGAGTAAATACAGCGGAATCATCCGAACCCCCACCTGCTGGGTTCAGAAAGAAGTAACGTGACACGTGGAGTTCACTCAGTAAAGTCTGTGACCCAGAAACGACGACACGAACACGATGTGATCGTCGGATTTCTTATTGGAGACGAAGCGTCGTGACCTGGTTTCTGATCAGAAAAGTAGAAGAGAAAAGCGGCAGCGGCGCCGCATGAGGAAAACAGACCGAGGCTGATCTGCTGAGTGGCTGCTGCTGAATTATTAAAGTGCCGGAGAGTCGAGCTGACGAGTGACTTACTTGGAGAAGCGCTCCGCGATGGCGTTGTTTTTGCCCCGGGCAGAGACGATGGACATCTCCTTGGCGGTGACCCTCAGTGACTGGGACGCCCACTGCCTGCGGCTGAAGGGAGCGACGGAGGCCATGTTTGCTGTGTGCCAGTGATCGGTCGTCCTGGCGTCCAGAACTCTGAGAGAGACGGAGGACGAGTCAATAAAGAAAACAAATCTGAGGACGATGAGAAAACTCTCTCCTCAGCGTCTCCTCGACTCCCGTCTCCCTCTGATGAATAAATGTCCCCCTCAGCTCTTTGTGTGCAGTTAAATGAGCTTCAGATCAAAAGGTGCCAGTAATTCTTTCATGTCCGTACAAAACCTCACCCACAAATCAATCAATTTTAGCGACTACACATCAGCGCTGAGTCAGAGTCAATAGAGGACGTCACGCCGCCATCGACCATCTGTTCTCATGTGACACAGCTCCGACTGAGGCCCGAGGGCGACCAGCAGCCGACGACTCACAAACACACTCATACACACTTTCACAACACACACTCATACACACTTTCACAACACACACTCATGTATCCTGCATCGACTTCCACTCACAACATCCTAAAACCTCACTTTAACGATTCATCGTCATATTAACGCGCTTCATCTATCATCATTAATACAAGATGAAATTATATAAAACTACACACTGAGGATGAATCCTCACCGTTAACAGTTAACAGATACAATACTTTTTATTTCAGGTTCAGTTTGACACGTGTTCCTGTGACTGTTTTTCCCGACATGTGTTGATATGATGGAATCATTCCAGTGATCCGCACTTTTGCTGTGGGACATCAGGGACTTTTCCACTTCTGTAGTTTCGCATTCGGTATCGTTGTTGTTGCGCCAAGGAGACTAAATGATGGTTGTAATGGTCGAGCAGAACACAACCAGTTTTCCAGTATTTCACAACAAGGAACTTTCCCAGATCACTTGAACATTCCACCCTTGATTGTTATCAGAGTCTTATTTTATGAAGTCTAGCTAATGTCCAGTGACATTGGTAATATTTCATACTGGATGCATCTATGCCTCATCTTTTCTAATTTAACAGCCATGAAAGTCAGGCGAGACTTTATAAGAAATTAAAAAACTCCTGTTATTCATTAATTTAATTATTATTCATTCCTTTTATGGTCGGATTAACTCATAACCTCAGGAACGACATTGGGCCCCGTTCTGGTCCCTCTGAGCTCGACTGGTCCCGACAGGTTCAGTATTTATGCTGTTAAAGGTCGAACAGAGGAAACGACGACGCGTCTCAACCTGCTTCTTCTCAACTCTTCAGGTCTGGAGGCCGCACACACTGTACTACACACACATACACACACACACACAGCGTCATCAGCTGATGATGCACAGATGTCATCACGCTTCAGGTGAATTAAAGAATGAGGTGGATGACGACGCAGCCTCCAGGGAATCGAACACAAGAGTCCACGTCACTCAGCGGGTGGGCCAGTGTGACATATTCCTGCCTCACTCCGACTGACTCATTTCTACACTTTCTCACCTGTTAAAGCTCCAATGATTCATGTTTTACCACATTTGACTAATCATCATTTTTTAACAAATTAGTTTTTTTGTGCAGATTTTCTTTGATACAATAGATGAAAGACAAATCTTGAGATATTTGACCATCAACACATTTGCGGAAGTTAACTTTGTCTGAACAGATTAGTCATTAAATAGATTAATTCATATATTATTTTATTTAAAAATTAATGCCAGATGCATTCAAATTAAACCACATTGCAGTTTTAGTATTTGACACTGTTGTAATACACAGTTCTGCAGAAAGAGAACTTTTACTTCTGATGCACTGAGCACATCTGGTTTGTCGGACAAATGTATTCTTATTCATGTTCTTTTCTTAAAAGCAGGACTCGTTATGTACTTGTGACAATACCATAAAGTACTGCAGTATGAATACATTTACTGCAGTTAATGATCAGAATACTTCATCCACCTCTGTTCAGACTGAGAAACACTAATATAATGTAAGAAGCTGAAACCATCAAATGTTTGACATTATTGATTAAAACTGATAATCACTGATCACATATTGAGGTAAGTTACTCAATTCAATTTAACTTTATTTGTACTGCACCAAATCACAACACCTACAATATATACACGTTATAATATTAAGACTGTAGAGAACGAAGTCCCTCCGACCCGAGTGTGGAAGTGA